CCCCAAAACCCCAAAACCCCTCTCTGCAATAAATCTAGAATTTAAATGACCATAAAATTATAAGATTAAAAGTGAAAATATATATAATAAAATGAACACGAAATATCATTTCTAGATTGACCAGAGCGAAAAGGCCCAGTAGCAATAATAAAAGTATGATTTAGAAGAGAAATTTCTTTCTAGACCAAAAAATGGACCAGAGAAAACAATATTTAAGCTCAGTGTTAAGCAGGGGGTTACAACTATCAATATAATATCAATGATTATGGTGCTATTCACGATGCTGCAGATGCTATTATTTTACGAGGTCTCATTTGTCTACTTTTTGCAGTCTGAAGAAACCTTCAATTTATCGACAAGAGAAGCGTCGAACACTGTTGGCGATTTATTATTTTGGACTTAAGTGATATCGATTGCATTTGATATTCTGGCAGGATCAACTCATGATCTCAATGGCAGAAGGCTGACAATATTTTTTGGATTTCTAATTGCTTGCTCAGCAATGGCTGTGCAGCCTTGGATACCAAGCATATATCCTGGAATCCTAATTACGCGATCTTTGATATTTATTGGACTTAGTGGCCCAGGATCAAGCCCTTTAGTAGCTGATTACGTAAAAAATAAGTCAAGAGGTACTGCATCAGCTTACATAGGACTAGCAGCAGGTATAGGGGTTATTTTTGGAATGTTCGTATTATTTGGGATGACGAAAGAATTATCTTATAAGAATAGCTATTCTATCGCAGCAGCATTCGCTCTTTCTCTTGCGGTTTTTATGTTATTTGGAATTAAAGATGTTAAATTTGAGAAAAAGCATGTTGTTCACCTACCTTTGAAGGAAAAGATAAGAGTAAAGTTTAATTAAATCAAAAGTGAACTATCCACTAAAATAGAACTACCACTTTGTTTGCTAGGAGCATTAATTTGCAGAATGCTAAATGTTATTTCAACAGTTTACATCAATCTTTGGTTAAGTACATTCTTTGGGAGAGATCAAGAAAGTTAAGTTCAAGCTAAAACCTTGAGTGCCAGCCTTAATGGTACTTCGATGACTTTAGCTTTAATCTGTACTTGCATTATAGGAATACTTTCAGATAAATTTAAACCTAGCAATATTTTCATTATTGTATTCGGTATTTCTGCTTTTGGGGCATTATTATTTACTTTCAATGATAAACCTGATGGAATTATAACTTATATTAGTGTCATATGCTTTAATATAGGCAATTAAACATAAAATATCGCGATAATTTCCTTGCTTTACAAAACTGTTGAGAAGGGGACGAGAGGGACAATAATTGGGTTATCTAACAGTATGAGTGCTATTGGAATTTTAATATTATCCAAACTTGGTGGATTTCTCTTTGAGGAAATTAGTATTAAAGCTCCCTTTATTTTTGTTGGAATATGCGATGCATTATTCATTATTTTGATACTTATTCTAAAGAAAACAGGCAAACTTAAAAAATGAACTATAAAACATCAAATATTAAAATTTCTTATATTTTGATTTCTCCTTTTTAATACAGATATATTTTTACGGGGTTTTGGGGTTTTGGGG